TGGTGGTGCGCGCCTGTAGTCCCAGCTACTCGGGAGGCTGAGGCAGGAGAATTGCTTGAATCCAGAAGGCGGAGGCTGCGGTGAGCTGAGATTGTGCCATTGCACTCCAGTCCGGGTGACAACAGCGAAACTCCGTCTCAAAAAAAAAGAAATTATACATTAATTCCTGGGAGTTTTCTCCCCTGGGCTTGCATTTTAAAGGATTTAGAATTCTTCCAATTGTTCCTCATGACCGAATTCATCCAGTTATCTATCATCCATGGCTCTCAAACCGTAAAAACCATTTGGTGCAAGATTAATGGAGAACTTCCTGATGAATGGACAAAACTGCAATCACCAAACCCACTGAAGATGCTTCTGATTACCAAAAGTAAAACCTGACATTTTGTACCTCTTGATAATGATGCAACAGGAAGCACACTGCATCTCCTATGATATATTCTTGTCTAAAAGAAAGAAAAAGAGGTCAGGTGCAGTGACTCACACCTGTAATCCTAACACTCTGAGAAGCCGAAGCAGGCAGATCATTTGAGGTCCAGGATTCGAGACCAGCCTGGCCAACATAGGGAAACCCCATCTCTACTACAAATACAAAAATTAGCCAGGCATACTGCTTGACCCTGGGACGTGGACGTTGCAGTGAGCTGAGACTACATTGCCACGGCACTCCAGCCTTGGTGACTGAGTGAGATTCCAATGTAAAAAAAAAGAAAGAAAGAAAGAAAGAAAATTAGCCAGGAGGGGTGGCAAGATGCCTATAACCCCAGCTACTTGGGAAGCTGAAGCAGGAGAATCACTTGGGAGTCAGAGGTTGCACTGAGATAGCGCTACTGCACTCCAACCTGGGCAACAGGGTGAGACTTTTGTCTCAAAAAGAAGAAAGAAAAAGAAAAGAACCTACACATACATATATAGGTTCACATATATGTAAAATTAACCTTCTGAATCTACCACTTTACAAAAACGATGGGGGCTAAAAATCATGTGAAACGTATCACAATGATATTTAACGGAATCACAATGTCTGCCAAATACAGGTCATAGGATCAATCCCAGGTTTTCTCCAGTAAAGACAGGTAACTATTAAGAGAGTTGGACACTTAAGAGATATTACCAAATGCATGTATAGAGAGCATTTGGATCCTGATACAAAAAAAAATTAGAAGAATTTTTTCATGAAGTGAAGACAATTAAACACACACCCAGTTCTTCGTGCTACTAAAGAATTATTAGGTCGGGCGCGGGGGCTCACCCCTGTAATCCCAGCACTTTGGGAGGGCGAGGAGGGTGGATCACGAGGTCAAGAGATCGAGACCATCCTGGTCAACATGGTAAAACCTTGTCTCTACTAAAAATACAAAAATTAGCTGGGCGTGGTGGTGTACGCCGATAGTCCCGGCTACTCAGAAGGCTGAAGCTGAACTGCTTGAATCCGGGAGGCGGAGGCTGCGGAGCCGAGATGGTGCCATTGCACTCCAGCCTGGGCAAGAAGAGCGAAACTGTCTCAAAAAAAAAAAAAAGAATTAAGGCTGGACACAGTGGCTCTTACCTACAATTCCAGCACTTTGGAAGGCCAAAGCAGGAGGATCACTACAGTAGTTCGAGACCAGCTCAGGCAACACAGCAAGACCTCATCTCTTTTTTTTTAGGGGGTGGGGATAAGGGCATAGTCTCACTCTATCCCCCAGGCTGGAGGGCAGTGGCTCAATCTTGGCTCACTGCAACCTCTACCTCCCAGGTTCAAGCGATTCTCTGCCTCAGCCTCCCAAGTAGCTGAGATTACACGCATCTGCCACCATGACCGGCCAATGTTTGTATTTTTAGTAGAGACAGGGTTTCACCATGTTGGCCAGGCTGGTCTCAAACTCCTGACCTCAGGTGATCCGTCTGCTTTAGCCTCCCAAAGTGCTGGGATTATAGGCATGAGCCACCATGCCCACTGCAAGACTTCATCTCTACAAAAAATTAAAAAATTAGCCAGGCTTGGTGGCATATGCCTGTACTCTCAGCTACTAGGGAGGCTAAAGTGGGAGGATCTCTTGAGCCGAGGAGTTGAAGCAAAATGAGCTACGGTGGAGACACTGCACTCCAGCCTGGGTGCCAGAGCAAGACTGTCAAAAAAAAAAAGGCAAAAACTTTAAGCTTAACCTAATAAATTAGCCTCTAGACTAGGAAATAGATATACAGAGAACCAAGTCAATGATACCATAAGGAAACAACCAGTAAACAGAGGACATTTGGCCAGGTGCAGTGGCTCATGCCTGTAATCCCAGCAATTCCAGCACTTTGGGAGGCCAAAGCGGGAGACTGACAGTTTGAGAACAACCTGCCCAACATGGAGAAACCTCGTCTCTATTAAAAATACAAAAATTGGCCGGGCATAGTGGCGCATGCCTGTAATCCCAGCTACTCAGGAGGCTCAGGCAGAATCGCTTGAACCTGGGAGGCAGAGGTTGCAGTGAGCTGAGATAGCACCATTGCACTCTAGCCTGGACAACACGAGTGAGACTCCATTCCCCTCACCCCAAAAAAAGGACATTCAAGAAAACTGTTATAGTCTCCCAACAGTTAAGTTAGGAGAGTAAGACAGACTAAAGAAACCAATTAACTTGTCCAGGTACGGTGGCTCACATCTATAATCCTAGCACTTCGGGGGGCTGAGACAGGTGGATCACTTGAGGTCAGGAGTTAGAGATCAACCTGGCCGACAAGATGAAACCGTCTCTACTAAGAATACAAAATTAGCTGAGCATGGTGGCACGTGCCTGTAATCCCAGCTAGGAAGCTCAGGCAGAACTGCTTGAACCTGGGAGGTGGAGGTTGGGGGGTCAGCCGAGATCACGACATTGCACTACAGAGGCGGCAACAAGAGTGAAACTCTGTCTCAAAAAAAAAACCAAAGATATTAGATGATACAAGGGAATAAAGTTTAGATATATTAAGTATGATACTGGTATTGTGATAATGAGAACATCTTGTAAAATGCATGATGAAGTGTCATAATTTACTTCCAAACTATTAAAATGGAGAAAACACACAGGTGTTCATGGTACTGATTTTTTGTTGTTGTTTTGAGATGGAGTTTCACTCTGTTCATCAGGATTGAGTGCAATGGCATGGATCTCGGTTCACTGCAACCTCTACCTCCTGGTTCAAGCGATTCTCCTGCCTCAGCTTCCCAAGTAGCTGAGACTACAGGCACACGCACCACCACACCCAGCTAGTTTTTGTATTTTTAGTAGAGACTGGGTTTCACCATGTTAGCCAGGCTCATTAACTCCTGACTTCATGATCCACCCCTCTTGGCCTCCCAAAGTGTTGGGATTACAGGCATGAGCCACAGCACCCATCCTGACCCTTTTTAATTAGCCTGATTTCACTGTAAAATACATTTTCATGTTGCACTGCTTGACAGTCATCAAGGTCAATGCAAATAAATTTTAACTTACAAAGACTTTGTAAGACTTTGTGGTCTCCTGTGAATAGGTCCTTAATTAATGCATTCCAAAAGGTCTCAAAAGGCAAATAAAGTACTACAAGGAATGGTTGCATGAAGCAAGAGTTCTATGTTTTAACCAACCCACTCTACTTTTCCCTTTCCCAACACTCAAAGCTGTGATCAACTCTCCTGCCTCAGCTTCTCAAGTAACTGGGACTCCAGGGATATGCCACCACGCCCAGCTAATTTTTGTATTTTTAGTAGATGGGGTTTCACCATGTTGGCCGGGATGGTCTCGACCTCTTGATCCGTCTGCCTCGGCCTCCCGCAAAGTGCTGGGATTACTGGCATGAGCCACCACGCCCAGACAGGAGAAAGGATTATTAACCACAACTAAGTTGACCGAAAATGCCATAACAGCATACCCCATTTGCTATGTTTTAGGTTTTCCTACATAAAGCCCATAATTTGGGGGAAATAACTTCCATGTGCACACCAGCCCCCAAACCTCATTTAACAGTGATGCCTTCGAAATAAGTCTTTCCTTATGCTGTCTCATACATGTGGTAGAAAATAAAATTGTCAAGATATTTATTGTGTTAACATGTGAGACATACAATTTGTTCAGTAAAAATAGCACATGATGAAAAAAATTAAGCTTATATTCATAAAGGAATGAGTATGCTATTACCTCTTTTTCTTGCTTGCTCTGGACTATTAATTTAACAAGGTCGGAATGTGCACAGGACAGCTGAGACACCACCATTTCAACACTGAATCGCTATACCATGAACTGACAGAAGAACCCTGCATGAAAGATGAAAAACTCATACCCAAAAAATCACATAGCAACATGGAGGGGGAAAAATGAACTAAGTGGAAAAAGTATATGACACTAACTGCATTTAACTTGGGAGTCGGGAAACAGAGGGCATGGGGTGGGAAGAACTGTTGAGGTTCAGGCTCTAACAAACTGTACATCCTTATGCAGATTAAGGTTCTTTTAACTCATCTATAAAGTGAGTTAAACAGATGAGTTCTAAAGTCTATCTCCACTTTAAGTGAGATCCTAGCAAAAACAAGGAATCCACTACTTCAGATCCTTATGAAACTCAGGAAAAGGTCGGGTACAGTGGCTCACCTGAGGTCAAGAGTTTGAGACCAGCCTGACCAACATAATAAATCCCATCTCTTAAAAATACAAAAACCAGCTGGGTGTGGTGGCGCACACCTGTAATCCCAGCTACTTGGGAGGCTGAGGAAGGAGAATCATTTGAACCTCAGGGGAGGAAGCTGCAGTGAGCGGAGATCACACCATTGCACTCTAGCCAGGGCAACAGAGGGAGACTCCATCTCAAAAAAAAAAAAAAGGAAACAAATACTCAAACAGCAATGGCATTAAAACTGTTCGAACACAGAACTAAAGGGCATTATTATAATGGATTACAAAGAGGATTTTCTACAGCTTTGCAAAAGTATCTAAATCCTATACATCCCTAACAGCAATTTTCATTATTGAAGACATGACTTCAGTACAAAAAGAAAAGTCCAAACTGTCAGCTTTCAGTCCTCCACATTCCCCTCTTTAATATGGCATTTTGCACTATATACATTAATGAAAATTTGAAACAAACAAAAGAACTTTAGTCAAACTCCCCTTCCTCCTCCAGCTTTATTGGAATAGTTTAAAATTACATTTCTATTTTCTAGGACTTCAGTTGCTTTTTCCATCTGACTTTTAAAAACTGATTACAGCAAATGAAACACAGTTGTCTAAGTGATATAGTATACAAAAATAACATCTTGATTTCTGTGAAAATGCATTTCTCTGCAATTCCTGAATAGCTCCAAATTATGCTAACTCTGAGCATTGATGTTTACTCTGGGTTTTAGATTTACTCTTTGAAAAAATGTGTTCTAAACCTTTGCCATCACCGTCTATGTGTCCAACATCAACACTGTGATGAAGTTGTTCCTGTTTAGGCTTTTATTTCGATTTCTCTCGCACAGCCATTAACACGCATGTTTTTCATTTTGTTTACTCCCACTCAACTGTATGTTCTATGAAGGGCCTGATACAGATGTTACTTGATGTTACTTATTAGCTACTGAGGTCAGACAATCCAAGGCCATCATTATACTAAAATTAAAGTTATTCATGGAAGTTCATCGACACTTCCAGAATTGGTTTTACCTCCTACATGGGAACATGTTCAAGAAACCCAGGACGGGCTTACTGGTCTGACTCAACTCTTCCCATTCATCAATCCCTATTCACCAGTGGCACGGAAAGGGGGTTCTTTAACAAAGCATTATACATAACACCTCTACCAAACTAAACATAAACTTTTTTTTGTAGTTAAATGCAGAAAGTCGTTTTTTTCCACCCCTTTCCTCCTTTTACACGGCAAGTAAAGCTCACTGGCCTGGGAGTTGCCTCTATCTGCCAACCTTTGGCCAGTGAAGAGGATTCAGAGAAAATAATACAACCATCAATCAGAAAAAGGAGGGGCGACAAAGGAAAATAATTAGGCTGTAGCCTCAATTGTGCATTCCCGTGCAAGGTGCCCTGACTCGCCACAGCGGTAACAGTTGACTTCACTTGTCTTGCTGCAGTTGATGGCTACATGACCAGTTTCACCACACCTAAAAAGAAATTAAAATAGTTTTCACAATGGGCCTCAGAGCAAAACTGTCTACCAAAGCAATAGTCATGGTGCAGAACAAAAAGCCATTAATAAACCAAGCAGTACACTTTTCTATTCAAGACAATAAATGTTTATACTGGCTAGGTGCAGTGGCTCATGCCTGTAATCCCAGTACTTTGGGACGCCAAGGCAGGCAGATCATGAGATCAGGAGTTCAAGACCAGCCTGGCCAACACAGTGAAACCCCATCTCTACTAAAAATACAAAAATTAGCCAGGCATGGTAGTGCGTGCTTATAGTCCCAGCTGCTTGGGAGGCTGAGGCAGGAGAACTGCTTGAACCCAGGAGATGGGTTACAGTAAGCCAAAATCGTTACACTGTACTTCAGCTTGGCAACGGTGACACTTCCATCTCCAAAATAAAAAAAAAGAATGTTTACATTAATAAACTGAGGGCAGGAAGGAGAAATAAAATAAAGCTACTCGGCCGGGCATGGTAGCTCATGCCTATAATCCCAGAACTTTGGGAGGCCGAGGTGGGCACATCACGAAGTCAAGAGATCAAGACCATCCTGGCCAACATGGTGAAACCCCTTCTCTACTAAAAATACAAAACTTGGCTGGGTGTGGTGGCAAGCACCTGTAGTCCCAGCTACTTGGGAGGCTTAGGTGGGATAATTGCTTGAATACAGGAGGTGGAGGTTGCAGTGAAACGAGATCACGCCACTGCACTCCAGCCTGATGACAGAGACTCTGTCACAAAAAAAAAAGATACTCAACTGTATAGCCTAAGCTATAAAATTAAAATTTTTGCCATTAAGAGATCATCCAACATTAAAACTAAAACACTGATTAAGATCTTTGTCTTTATGCAATTAAGGTTTCACAGGTACATACACAGTAACATTTATCAAAAAATACACTTTACATGTCACCAACAAAGATTTCTGGTTACATGATGATTTATGTATATCAATTACAGAGCTTTCTGTAAAGTCTCTCGAAGGTTCTAATTATTACACTCTTACATATTTAAAAAGTCCAGTTGTGAAAACTGTCCAGGTGCCATAAATCACAAAATATTAGGGCAGAATGCAGAATTATATACAGACAGAATACCAGTTACATACGCTGAAAACTGGTCTTATCTGGTCACAGCCAACTTTCACTGAATTTACTAAGGGCCTTCCATTTATAGCTAATTCATCTCTAAAACAATCTCTGCAATGAGCTTTCCTCTAACAACATTCTAACACCTTACCTATAGCACTTCACTTTGGTGCAGTCTTTTTGAATGTGTCCAAATTCTCCACAAGAATAGCACTTCTGCTCATCTGCATGGTCGCAGTCACGAGCCAGATGGCCTGGTTTGCCACAATTGTAGCAGCACTGCTCTCGCTCTCTCTTGGGCTCCTTGCAGTCCTTGGCAATGTGACCACCTCTACCGCAGTTATAGCAGGCTTCAACAATAAGGAAAAGAAACAGACCAAGACTATAAAACCTTTACAAAGTGTTAAGTTTTAAATTATACAAAACCTCAAAGGTGGAAAAGCTATATGCAGCTGCATGTGCTCACCTCTCCAAGCTCCAGAGGGGTATGAAAGGAAGTGTTAAATACTTACCATCCTCCTGAAGATCACAATCCTTGGCAAGATGACCAGACTCACCGCAGCGATAACAGATGTCTGGAAGAGACGAGGAAACAAACTGGAAACCTGTTTTGAGCAAAAACAAAGGGAATTCGGCTAGTCAGACCAGTCTGAATACTAACAAATACTGAAGTACTTCAAATTTTTGTATTCGACAAAATACCTCTATCCGAGGTAAAACCACCTCTGCCACGGCTTCTCATTCCACGACCACGGCCTCCACCAGTAGGGCATTCCCGGGCCCAGTGGCCAGATCGTCCACACTTGAAGCATTCATTGCTGCTCATGGCTGCAGTCAGATCTTTGAAATATTAAGAGTAACAACATTAAACCACTGAAATTTCTTTTAACTTTTATTCTCCATTAACTGTATTTTTGGAAAATTATTCTGGGGGAAAAAAAGCTAATATTTTGGTTAAAAAATAATCACACAACTACATGCTTGGGCATTATAGATCTATTATAATACACACATTAATACAGGTATTGAAGGAGTGATCGAATTTACAGGGTTAGGGTCAATTAAAATTCATTATTAGAAATAATTGGTAGTGACTGGGCATGGGGGCTCATGCCTGTAATCCTAGTACTTTGGGAGGCCAAGGCAGGTGGATCATCTGAGGTTAGAAGTTTGAGACCAGCTTGGCCAACATGGCAAAACCCCATCTCTACTACAAAAAATAGCTAGGTGTGGTGACACACACCTATAATCCCAGCTACGAGAGGGGCTGAGGCAGGAGAATTGCTTCAACCCGGGAGGTGGAGGTTACAGTGAGCTGAGATCATGTCACTGCACTTTAGCCTGGAGGATAGAGACTCCATCTCAAAAAAAAAGAAGAAAGAAAAGAAGTAATTGGTAGTAATACTCATTCCAGGTCCAGCTTAATGGACACATTTGCAAATAGAAGTCTTTATTTACTCATCAGAAAATTGGAATAACCCAAACCAATGAAGCTATAAAACGGATTCTCAGAGCGAGGAGTCGGTGAAGAAAAACACTCTCTTAACCTTAGCACCTGATATAGTACCTAGTTATATTGCAGCACTTGCCTGCTGATTGAGATATTCCTTAGAACAGATATGTTAAAACAAATGCAAGATATAAATTTTATCTCTAGAGGATACAAAAGTACAGTAGGCCCTCTATATCCATGGGTTCTGCATCCATATATTCAACCAACCTTAGAAAAAAAATATTCAGGGGAAAAAAGTGGCATCTGTATTGAATATGCAGACTTTTTTTCTTGCCATTATTCCTTAAACAATACAATGTTAACAACTACTTATTCAGTACTTACACTGTATTAAGAATTTTTAATCTAGAGATGATTTTTAAAGTATATGGGAAGATGTGCAAAGGTTGTAATGCAAGTACTACACCATTTTATATCAGGAACTTGGGCATAGGAGGATTTTGATATCTGAGGGAGGTCGTGGAACCACTCCTCCACAGATACCAAGAGATGATTATATAATAAAAACACTAGGAAAATGACCATGAGTTACACCAAAGTGCTAATAGCACCTATAGCACTGGGAATGTTTGTGCTTTGTTCTCTTTTATTCTCCCCTTTCCAAATGTTTCTGTAATGTAATTCTACATTTTAAACAAGGCTACTTAAAATTTCATAATAAATTCCTTTGATTGGGTATCATTTTAAAATAAAAATAAAATTCCCACTAAAGCAAATGGATTTTGTACTTCTTATGTAACAATCTAAAAATAAATTGAGGCTATTCTTAAAATAGAATGAAATGGAATAGAATGGAATGAAAACAATGTAACTATATTTTCACACTTCCATAGCTAAATATTTTTACCCTTAATTCCATTGTCAAACAATGACACACAAATATCCTCTCAAACCTACCTAAGCATGGGTACCATCACGTAGAAAAACATATTTCCAACTGAGTAAAACTAACTGGATGACGGAATTAGCTAACCCAACCACAGCACCAAAGACCCAAAAGGCAGTCAGAAAAATGGCAAGGTTCTCTACTTTCAGTAACTATTTAGGTTCTCCACTTTCAGTAACTATTTAATCATTAACTGTGGAGAAATTTAGTAACTAAAAATTAAGCTAAAGTTCAGTTTCAAAAAGTTCCCATTGTCAAATATACAAAAGAAAATAACCCTTATCTCCAGGTAGATAGTGAAAACAAACAAACAAACCCAATACTCACTTATCCCAACTCTGTGCAATCTGATTCAGGATACATTCTTAGAGAAATCTCTCTACTAAAAAAAAATAATAATAAAAAAGAAAAAAGAAAAAAGAAAAAAAAGGCTGGGTGTGGTGGCTCATGCCTGTAATCCAAGCACTTTGGAGGCCACGGTGGGCAGATCACCTGAGGTCAGGAGTTCAAGACCAGCCTGACCAACACGGTAAAACCCCATCTTAAAAATAATAAAATAAAATAGGCTGGGTGTGGTGGCTCTCGCCTATAATTCCAGCACTTTGGGAGGCCAAGGCGGGAGGATCACGAGGTCAAGAGATCGAGACTATCCTGGTCAACAAGGTGAAACCCCGTCCCTACTAAAAATACAAAAATTAGCGGGGCATGGTGGCGCACGCCTGTAGTCCCAGCTACTCAGGAGGCTGAGGCAGGAGAATTGCTTGAACCCAGGAGGCAGAGGTTGCAGTGAGCAGAGATCATGCCATTGCACTCCAGCCTGGGTAACAAAGAGCGAAACTCTGTCTCAAAACAAAACAAAACAAAACAAAACAAAAAAAATAAAAGAAATCTTTCTACTAACTCTTACCACATGCCTACAAACATATTACCAAAAAAATTGTTTGGCTATGAGTTATTTGTGGTTTCAGATGTATAAAACATTATTTCTAGTTAAAAGAAACCAGCCAGTGAAGGAGATTAAAAACATAATTTTACAGAATTTGAAAGAGTATCTGCTTTAAGATAGAAGAGTACAGTAATCATTCTTTTAACTGTACTATTATCAGCATCCTAAATGATGTAAACTGGTTTCCACCATAGGTAAGAATTAGGATTAAAAAAAAATAACGGCATATAAAATGGTCAAAGAAAAAAAGCTGCTTATGGCACCACTTCCTCCCCATCTTCATTTTGTATCTTCTCCAGTTTAGTCAGATCAACTTGGGCTCATTTAACAACTGCTCTCAGGAATAATTATTTGTACATAAATGATTACTTTTACAGTGTAATCCAGACAATCTACAAGTCCTAAATACTTTATAATATTTAAACAAGATACTTCACTTTTAGAAAATACAAAACAAGGCTGGGCACAGTGGCTCACACTTGTAATCCCAGCATTTTGGGACGCCAAGGCAGGAGGATCACCTAAGGTCAAGAGTTTGAGACCAGCCTGACCAACATGGGAAAACTCTGTCTCTACTAAAAATACAAAATTAGCTGGCTATGGTGGCACACGCCTGTAATCCCAGATACTCAGGAGGCTGAGTCACTTGAACCCGGGATTAATCAATGTGAGATTTCTCACAAACTGTTTCTCCATTGTCTTGTTTATCTCTAGTCGTGGGACCCAGAGATCTAGTATAAAGGTAGGGGGTGGGGAGAATGACAGGAACAAATATTTCCGGAAAGGAAACCATTGGCTAAAATAACATGTTAAGACTTAATATTATAAGCTCTACTTCCTATTTCAATAAGAACTACAAATGACATTTAGAGAAAGCAGTACTTCTCCACTTAGTCAAGCAAATAAAATAATCCCATTAAAAGTGTCTCACAAGACTGCAATTCAAGCACTATTCTGTAAAACAAACATGTTTTCAGTGGCAAAGGCAGAATTTTACACACTAGAACAGAAATTTTAGATATTTTGCCATTTTTAGTCACGCATAATTATGTTTACTAGAATAAATGTTAAAAACAAAACAAAACAAAAAAACCACCAAGTCTTAGAAGGGAAGAAAGAATTAATCTTTTTAGCCCCTAAATGTCATCAATACAACATATACTTTTTAAAGAGGTCTTTCAGTGGCCTTAGGTACTTATGTATGCAATCTGCCTTCTCCACCCCTTTGGCCAACCCTATCACAGTGAATCAGGTGGTTTACAGTTTCACTGATAACTGGTCCCTTGTGATAGACTTGTCTTTAGTAACATAATTAAACTAACCACTTTCCATGATGTTTTAGAAACACACTATTTTTTTTTATTGCACTTTAGGTTTTGGGGTACATGTGAAGAACATGCAAGATTGTTGCATAGGTACATCATGGCAGTATGATTTGCTGCCTTTCTCCCCATCACCTATATCTGGCATTTCTCCCCATGCTCTCTCCCCAACTCCCCCCCACCCCCACCCCCGCTGTCCTTCCCCTATTTCCCTGCCCCCGACAGACGTCAGTGTGTGATGCTCCCCTCCCTGTGTCCATGTGTTCTCATTGTTCAACACCCACCTATGAGTGAGAACACGCAGCAAACACACTACTTATATTAGGCAGCAGGTCCCCATCCTAGTACTCATCTCAGAAGAATATATTTAAAGGTCTTTACAGAATTCTGTGATATTCCTTAGTAAAACTAAGGTAAGGCAAGACAGCTGAGAATCATGGCCCCATGAGTCTGTCTCATTGCCTGACTGCTGCTGGCTGGAATTGTGCTGCACTATCCTGGTCTCCTGTGCTCCTTCTCCACCTGTCACAACTTTTTCCAACCTTCACGGGCCAACTCAAATGCCAACTCTACAAAAGAATCTGGGCTGGGCGCACTGGCTCACACCTGTAATCCCAGTACTTTGGGAGGCCGAGGAAGATAGATCATGAGGTCAGGAGTTCCAGATCAGCCTGACCAACGTGACAAAACCCATCTCTATTATAATACAAAAATTAGCTGGGTGTGGTGGTGTGTGCCTGTAGTCCCAACTTATCAGGAGGGTGAGGCAGAAGAATTGCTTGAACCTAGAAGGTGGAGGTTGTAGTGAGCTGAGATCGTGCCACTGCACTCCAGCCTGTGCAATAGAGCAAGACTCCGTCTCAAAAAAAAAAAAAAAAAAAAAGAATCCGACTACATCTCTACATTTCTCCAGCTGGGAACTATCCTTCCTATTAAGTTCTAGGACACTCTGTTAATACCTATCTAATGGCAGTACCATATTGCCTTGCATGATATTCCTTGAAGGCAGAGACCAAGTAATTCACCTTTGAATCATCAAACACCCCATATAGTTATCCTTTTAGTAGCCATTATGTAACTCAGCATTTTAATTAATTTTTGGGAGACAGGTGTCTTTAGTAATTTGGTGAATAAACTACTGACCCAATCCAGCCTAACCAAGCACTAAACAAT